GAACACATAGAGATCACTTTGTCCAGCTCCAGGATCGTTCTGGCCTATAGACCGCTATAAAACTCTTCATGTATGCTCTTGACTCCATCTGACGAACCACAAGCCCACCCCAGGGGTCATACTTAACACTTGCCAAGCAATTCATTACCCCAGCTTGACCAAAGGGTCACCATTTAACCAAGGTTACTTATCCCGACCAGTCCGTAAGTCCGAGGCCTGTACAGGCGGCAGTTTCAGCAGCGAGATGGGCCATCATTAGGGCGTGATACAGTTTGTCAAATGCGAAGTGTGATGGTATGTTGAAACGACCAAACAGATTCAGCGTCGTTGATTATAGCCCCTATTTAACGTTGTTATTGCAATACTCGATGTGATTAGGTGTCGTGTAGATGATGTAGGTGCACCTGTTAAATGAAGCTCTGCCACACAAACCATGTCCCATTATTGAACATTATACAGTTCAGACCGCAATGCGAGCATTCCAATATATCAGTTTGCAATTTAACGATATCTCTGAATGGCTTCATATAAGGAATGTACCCATATGAATATATCCCACAAAGACCTCGAGTGTAATCTCAGATCATACAGTCACCTTTAAACAATACTTGGTCACTTTTACGTACTGTCAGAAGGTAATGAATACGAATAGTTAGACTTCCGCATATTGCCGATGTTGTGCAATACAGGCCGTGGGTGTTATTTCCTTTATCTACGTTGCCAGTTCAACAATTATATGCAGCTGAGTCGTAGCAACCCGATTTCGCCTTGCCTCACCCCGCCCTGCCCTTGCCTTGCCTTGCCTTGCCTTGCCTTGCCCCTGCCCCTGCCCTGCCTCTGCCCCGGCCCCGCCCTGCCCTGCCCCTGCCTTGGCCCCGTCTGCCCTGCCCTGCCCTGCCCCGCCCTGCCTTGCCTTGCCTTGCCTTGCCTTGCCTTTGCCTTGCCTTTGCCAACTTTGCCAGCAAATGTTTTGGACAAACTACCGGTCATGACGGCGTCTTCGTTTCACGTACATAGTCACCTTTGTAGGTTCTAGGCCAGTGTTCTAGACTGTAAATGCAAATTATTGAAATAACCAGTTGTTCTAAATCGCGTAAATGGAACATATTGTTATGTTAAAATAGGTATATGAAAATCTTGCTTTTTGAGAGTGACTCTTGCTTAATTTAATGGAATTTTGTAAAATGGCCCCGCCGCTAGATGGCGGAAATAATGCAGATGCGACGGTAATTTCACTCACCACTTAAACAATTCTAACAAATTAAATTCTAACAAGGATTAGTCGTTTTATGCAGTACATGGTCACCCAAAACAACACTTAATCGTTTCATGCAGCACATAGTCGCCTCTCAAGCAAGACACTCGTTTCATGCGTACATAGCGTACCCTCAAACGGCTGCTTATTCTCCTTCACGAGGGTACATACTGACACCCTCAAGCAACACTTAATAATCGTTTCATGCAGTTACATAGTGACCTCAAACAATGTTTTAGTAGTTTCATTCCGTACATCGTGACCTCAAGCAACACCTTAATCGTTTCATAGAGGTACATAGTGACCTCAAGCAACACCACTAATCGTTTCATGCAGTACATAGTGACCTCAAACAATACTTCGTCGTTTCCTTGCAGTATTATAGGTGTTCCTCAAACAATACTTAGTAGTTTCATGCACCGTACATAGTGACCTCAAGCAACACTTTCTAATCGTTTCATGCAGTACATAGTGACCTCAAACAATTTTATAATCGTTTCATGCAGGCACATTAGTGACTATCAAGCAAAAACTTAATCGTTTCATGCAGTACAAAGTGACCTCAAGCAAAACTTTGGATCGTTTCATGCAGTACATAGTGACCTCAAACAATACTTAATCGTTTCATGCAGTACATAGTGACCTCAAGCAACACTTAATCGTTTCATGCAGTACATAGTGATCCTACTTCGTCGTTTCAAACATAGTGACCTCAAACAATACTTCATGGTTTCATGCGGTACATAGTGACCTCAAACAATACTTCGTCGTTTCATGCCGTTTCTTTAATGTTTCATGCCGTACATAGTGACCTCAAACAATACTTTAGTAGTTTCATGCGAGTACATAGTCACCTCCTCAAACAATACTAATCGTTTCATGCCATCCATAGTGACCCTCTCAAACAATACTTAGTAGTTTCATGGCGGTATAGTTGTCCCTAAATGAGTACTACTTAGTTTCCATGCCATCCATAGTGACCTCAAACAATGCTTAGTTGTTTTCATGCAGTACATAATCGTATCCCAAACAGTACTCAGTAGTTTCATGCATCCATGACCTCACAATGCATAGTCATGCAGTACAAATCGTATCAACAGTACTTAGTCGTTTCATGCTGTCCATAGTGACCTCAAACAATACTTCGTCGTCCTTTCCGTCCATAGTGACCTCAAACAATACTTAGTCCTTTCATGCAGTACATAGTCGTCTCAAACAGTACGTAGCAGTTTCATGTAGTATAGAGTCACCTCAAACAATACTTAATTGTTTCATGCAGTACATAATCGTCTCAAACAGTACTTAGTAGTTTCATGCAGTACATAGTCACCTCCAACAATACTTAGTCGTTTAGCCACGTCAGACAATGCTTTGTCACTGCAGATAATACTTTGTCAACTCAAATAATAATCGCCTAGTCATGCATAGTTGGAGGAAGCCGACTCGGAACATAGTCTCTCCTGTTTATACATAGCCTCTCCTACCTATACATAGTAAACTCAATACTTTCTTCTCCTCGAGCTATTCATTCATCGAGCAATGCATGGTCTTTGGAGTTTTGACGGAATTTTGATCAAGAATGAAATATAAACAAAGATGTGTTTGCCTTGTTCACTTTATTATTAATAGAGGATGAAAAGGTTTGAAGGAAGATGAGAGAACGACTCGTTTTGGTCAATTTGTTATAAAACAAAACCTGTTGTTAACTTTAGATTCATGTGCTAACTGTATCTGTAGAAGATCATGATTTCGGTAGAATGTGTAAAATGAGTCAGTGTAGATTTCAGCAGAAATATGCATATAACTCTCGATTTGAATCGGTAAATATTCATATTTACCGATCAGCTATTATTTACTGTAAAATATGTAATGTTTGAATGGATCACTAAAAAGTAGGTGTATATTTCCTGATTCTACACTTCTTCCATTTGAAAGGGCCTGTTAACTGACCGTGAAAATGATATGCATGGACTAGAAAATCCTGTGACCAGAGAGCCTTTCCTGAATGTGTTGAAACCCAAAACCGATTTGTTAGACTTAAACCACATCTCTTGTCTAGAAGTGCAGAAATTTGCACATACCAAATAATCTCGTGCTGATCGGTTTTACTAACATGGTAACATATAGGGATTTTGATCGCTAAGGTAAACTGACTCATCAAGTCCTTTATTAAGACGCTTTGTGACTGTTCGAAAAACGAAAGATACTTATTTTGAAGAAGTGATTTCTTTGACAAATATTTAGTCTCTGGTATCTCTGTTTTAACAACCGTACGCGCGACAATACACATCAATGGAAAGTAGTGCACAAACACTCTTGTCGCTTATATTTATACCTTGTCGAGAGGGCTCACTCATTAACTCCACTCACTCACTCCACCATTCACCACCTCCCTCCTCCCTCACTCACTCCACCACTCGACCTCATATGCGTACCTACTAAACACCGTTGTATCCCCAGCACATGGTGCCCTAAGAGAAATAGAAATAATTGAATATTTATCAGCAGTATAAGATCCGACTTGCACTCACTCATGAACTCTCGGTCCTACCACATCATCTCTCAATGTCGACAAGATCAGCGTTCACAGAATTGACGCTTCAAGCTGAGTAGCTCGATGGATCACTCGGGCGAAGCTCTCAGCGGCAAATCTTCCTTTGCCTCTAAACAATCTCTGTCAAACACATTACGATTAAAAAGCCGTGCATCAGGAGCCGCTAAGATGTTCCTCCAGGAATAAAAAGATGCGTCGGCCGGGAATCGAACCCGGATCGACTGCTTGGAAGGCAACCATGCTAACCTTTACACCACCGACGCTGTCCACGCTGGGTGATGTTGAAAAGGCATCTTAATGAAATTTGCTGATTGATTAGCCACGCCCTGAGGCACGCCATTAAATGAAACGGCTTACGTCACAAAATGAATTCAATTATACTTTTGAAATGTATTTTTGCCTTATGCAACAAGGGTCTACAATCTACAAAGCACTGATAACAAATTCTATGGGTCTACAATCTACAAAGCACTGATAACAAATTCTATTTAAATGAAGAGGACACTGCATTTGTATCCATATGGAGCAAATGGACACGTCAGCTGAACACTTCCTCCTTTCCAGCGTTCTCTTTAACCAAAGAATGAGAAGCCAAGAAAAAGGCGCAATTAGTGTGAAGCATCGGTGGTCTAGTGGTAGAATACTCGCCTGCCACGCGGGTGACCCGGGTTCGATTCCCGGTCGATGCACACTTTTGTGCCTCCATATGCAAAAGGAAAGGCTTTCTCCAAACGCGTCTCTCTAATACGAATATCTACTCTGTGACGCAATGTGATTGTTGTCAGTGATGTCACGTTTCTGTGATGTCAGGCCATTGTGACGTCACAAATGAGTCTTTATATAGACTTCAGTCTGTTGGAATGAGAACATTTGTACATTTACATGACTCCATTTAAAGGACTTGTAAGGACGGGATGTTCTGCAGGTTTTAGCACTGTTCCACGTAAACTGTACTTTATCTGCACAGCATTCTAACAGTGTCAGGCTGTCAATGTAGCAATAATACGGCCAGCTCTACGTTGATTACACACACATATTTCATTTCATAGCATGGCTGAGATAATAGAAAGTGTCAACAGAAAATTATACATATCAACATGGTGCATATTCATGGAGGATGTTATTTGTACTTTCTTCAGTCGGACGTGAACGCCAAATTTCTCCACCCATGTTCCTCCAGGAATAAAAAGATGCGTCGGCCGGGAATCGAACCCGGATCGACTGCTTGGAAGGCAACCATGCTAACCTTTTTTACACCACCGACGCTGTCCACGCTGGGTGATGTTGAAAAGGCATCTTAATGAAATTTGCTGATTGATTAGCCACGCCCTGAGGCACGCCATTAAATGAAACGGCTTACGTCACAAAATGAATTCAATTATACTTTTGAAATGTATTTTGCCTTATGCAACAAGGGTCTACAATCTACAAAGCACTGATAACAAATTCTATGGGTCTACAATCTACAAAGCACTGATAACAAATTCTATTTAAATGAAGAGGACACTGCATTTGTATCCATATGGAGCAAATGGACACGTCAGCTGAACACTTCCTCCTTTCCAGCGTTCTCTTTAACTAAAGAATGAGAAGCTAAGAAAAGGCGCAATTAGTGTGAAGCATCGGTGGTCTAGTGGTAGAATACTCGCCTGCCACGCGGGTGACCCGGGTTCGATTCCCGGTCGATGCACACTTTTTGTGCCTCTCCATATGCAAAAAAGGAAAGGCTTTCTCCAAACGCGCGTCTCCTAATACGAATATCTACTCTGTGACGCAATGTGATTGTTGTCAGTGATGTCACGTTTCTGTGATGTCAGGCCATTGTGACGTCACAAATGAGTCTTTATATAGACTTCAGTCTGTTGGAATGAGAACATTTGTACATTTACATGACTCCATTTAAAGGACTTGTAAGGACGGGATGTTCTGCAGGTTTTAGCACTGTTCCACGTAAACTGTACTTATCTGCACAGCATTCTAACAGTGTCAGGCTGTCAATGTAGCAATAATACGGCCAGCTCTACGTTGGATTACACACATTATTTCATTTCATAGCATGGCTGAGATAATAGAAAGTGTCAACAGAAAATTATACATATCAACATGGTGCATATTCATGGAGGATGTTATTTGTACTTTCTTCAGTCGGACGTGAACGCCAAATTTCTCCACCCATGTTCCTCCAGGAATAAAAAGATGCGTCGGCCGGGAATCGAACCCGATCGACTGCTTGAAGGCAACCATGCTAACCTTTACACCACCGACGCTGTCCACGCTGGGTGATGTTGAAAAGGCATCTTAATGAAATTTGCTGATTGATTAGCCACGCCCTGAGGCACGCCATTAAATGAAACGGCTTACGTCACAAAATGAATTCAATTATACTTTTGAAATGTATTTTGCCTTATGCAACAAGGGTCTACAATCTACAAAGCACTGATAACAAATTCTATGGGTCTACAATCTACAAAGCACTGATAACAAATTCTATTTAAATGAAGAGGACACTGCATTTGTATCCATATGGAGCAAATGGACACGTCAGCTGAACACTTCCTCCTTTCCAGCGTTCTCTTTAACTAAAGAATGAGAAGCTAAGAAAAGGCGCAATTAGTGTGAAGCATCGGTGGTCTAGTGGTAGAATACTCGCCTGCCACGCGGGTGACCCGGGTTCGATTCCCGGTCGATGCACACTTTTTGTGCCTCCATATGCAAAAAAGGAAAGGCTTTCTCCAAACGCGCGTCTCCTAATACGAATATCTACTCTGTGACGCAATGTGATTGTTGTCAGTGATGTCACGTTTCTGTGATGTCAGGCCATTGTGACGTCACAAATGAGTCTTTATATAGACTTCAGTCTGTTGGAATGAGAACATTTGTACATTTACATGACTCCATTTAAAGGACTTGTAAGGACGGATGTTCTGCAGGTTTTAGCACTGTTCCACGTAAACTGTACTTATCTGCACAGCATTCTAACAGTGTCAGGCTGTCAATGTAGCAATAATACGGCCAGCTCTACGTTGGATTACACACATTATTTCATTTCATAGCATGGCTGAGATAATAGAAAGTGTCAACAGAAAATTATACATATCAACATGGTGCATATTCATGGAGGATGTTATTTGTACTTTCTTCAGTCGGACGTGAACGCCAAATTTCTCCACCCATGTTCCTCCAGGAATAAAAAGATGCGTCGGCCGGGAATCGAACCCGGATCGACTGCTTGGAAGGCAACCATGCTAACCTTTACACCACCGACGCTGTCCACGCTGGGTGATGTTGAAAAGGCATCTTAATGAAATTTGCTGATTGATTAGCCACGCCCTGAGGCACGCCATTAAATGAAACGGCTTACGTCACAAAATGAATTCAATTATACTTTTGAAATGTATTTTTGCCTTATGCAACAAGGGTCTACAATCTACAAAGCACTGATAACAAATTCTATGGGTCTACAATCTACAAAGCACTGATAACAAATTCTATTTAAATGAAGAGGACACTGCATTTGTATCCATATGGAGCAAATGGACACGTCAGCTGAACACTTCCTCCTTTCCAGCGTTCTCTTTAACTAAAGAATGAGAAGCTAAGAAAAGGCGCAATTAGTGTGAAGCATCGGTGGTCTAGTGGTAGAATACTCGCCTGCCACGCGGGTGACCCGGGTTCGATTCCCGGTCGATGCACACTTTTTGTGCCTCTCCATATGCAAAAAAGGAAAGGCTTTCTCCAAACGCGCGTCTCCTAATACGAATATCTACTCTGTGACGCAATGTGATTGTTGTCAGTGATGTCACGTTTCTGTGATGTCAGGCCATTGTGACGTCACAAATGAGTCTTTATATAGACTTCAGTCTGTTGGAATGAGAACATTTGTACATTTACATGACTCCATTTAAAGGACTTGTAAGGACGGGATGTTCTGCAGGTTTTAGCACTGTTCCACGTAAACTGTACTTATCTGCACAGCATTCTAACAGTGTCAGGCTGTCAATGTAGCAATAATACGGCCAGCTCTACGTTGGATTACACACATTATTTCATTTCATAGCATGGCTGAGATAATAGAAAGTGTCAACAGAAAATTATACATATCAACATGGTGCATATTCATGGAGGATGTTATTTGTACTTTCTTCAGTCGGACGTGAACGCCAAATTTCTCCACCCATGTTCCTCCAGGAATAAAAAGATGCGTCGGCCGGGAATCGAACCCGGATCGACTGCTTGAAGGCAACCATGCTAACCTTTACACCACCGACGCTGTCCACGCTGGGTGATGTTGAAAAGGCATCTTAATGAAATTTGCTGATTGATTAGCCACGCCCTGAGGCACGCCATTAAATGAAACGGCTTACGTCACAAAATGAATTCAATTATACTTTTGAAATGTATTTTGCCTTATGCAACAAGGGTCTACAATCTACAAAGCACTGATAACAAATTCTATGGGTCTACAATCTACAAAGCACTGATAACAAATTCTATTTAAATGAAGAGGACACTGCATTTGTATCCATATGGAGCAAATGGACACGTCAGCTGAACACTTCCTCCTTTCCAGCGTTCTCTTTTAACTAAAGGAATGAGAAGCTAAGAAAAGGCGCAATTAGTGTGAAGCATCGGTGGTCTAGTGGTAGAATACTCGCCTGCCACGCGGGTGACCCGGGTTCGATTCCCGGTCGATGCACACTTTTTGTGCCTCTCCATATGCAAAAAAGGAAAGGCTTTCTCCAAACGCGCGTCTCCTAATACGAATATCTACTCTGTGACGCAATGTGATTGTTGTCAGTGATGTCACGTTTCTGTGATGTCAGGCCATTGTGACGTCACAAATGAGTCTTTATATAGACTTCAGTCTGTTGGAATGAGAACATTTGTACATTTACATGACTCCATTTAAAGGACTTGTAAGGACGGGATGTTCTGCAGGTTTTAGCACTGTTCCACGTAAAACTGTACTTATCTGCACAGCATTCTAACAGTGTCAGGCTGTCAATGTAGCAATAATACGGCCAGCTCTACGTTGGATTACACACATTATTTCATTTCATAGCATGGCTGAGATAATAGAAAGTGTCAACAGAAAATTATACATATCAACATGGTGCATATTCATGGAGGATGTTATTTGTACTTTCTTCAGTCGGACGTGAACGCCAAATTTCTCCACCCATGTTCCTCCAGGAATAAAAAGATGCGTCGGCCGGGAATCGAACCCGGATCGACTGCTTGAAGGCAACCATGCTAACCTTTACACCACCGACGCTGTCCACGCTGGGTGATGTTGAAAAGGCATCTTAATGAAATTTGCTGATTGATTAGCCACGCCCTGAGGCACGCCATTAAATGAAACGGCTTACGTCACAAAATGAATTCAATTATACTTTTGAAATGTATTTTTGCCTTATGCAACAAGGGTCTACAATCTACAAAGCACTGATAACAAATTCTATGGGTCTACAATCTACAAAGCACTGATAACAAATTCTATTTAAATGAAGAGGACACTGCATTTGTATCCATATGGAGCAAATGGACACGTCAGCTGAACACTTCCTCCTTTCCAGCGTTCTCTTTAACTAAAGAATGAGAAGCTAAGAAAAGGCGCAATTAGTGTGAAGCATCGGTGGTCTAGTGGTAGAATACTCGCCTGCCACGCGGGTGACCCGGGTTCGATTCCCGGTCGATGCACACTTTTTGTGCCTCTCCATATGCAAAAAAGGAAAGGCTTTCTCCAAACGCGCGTCTCCTAATACGAATATCTACTCTGTGACGCAATGTGATTGTTGTCAGTGATGTCACGTTTCTGTGATGTCAGGCCATTGTGACGTCACAAATGAGTCTTTATATAGACTTCAGTCTGTTGGAATGAGAACATTTGTACATTTACATGACTCCATTTAAAGGACTTGTAAGGACGGGATGTTCTGCAGGTTTTAGCACTGTTCCACGTAAACTGTACTTATCTGCACAGCATTCTAACAGTGTCAGGCTGTCAATGTAGCAATAATACGGCCAGCTCTACGTTGGATTACACACATTATTTCATTTCATAGCATGGCTGAGATAATAGAAAGTGTCAACAGAAAATTATACATATCAACATGGTGCATATTCATGGAGGATGTTATTTGTACTTTCTTCAGTCGGACGTGAACGCCAAATTTCTCCACCCATGTTCCTCCAGGAATAAAAGATGCGTCGGCCGGGAATCGAACCCGGATCGACTGCTTGAAGGCAACCATGCTAACCTTTAC